CCCATGAACAAAAGCAGACTGAAGGATGAATCACGAGACAGTAGGATTTCAGTTAGAAGGTATGCATTGATGAGGCAAAAAAGATTATGTGTATGTATGTGCAATTTTCAGACCCCCATGTCAGAATAATGAGATCTGATTGGTCCTCGTGATCTTGATAAAATACTGTGTGTCTCGTCTTGGAGGGGAATACATTTTTCTGCGTGCGAATAAATCTCTTATACCCCGTCACGAGTAAGTCAGGCTGCACGTGGATTTCTGAGAGGCAGAATAAATCCTTTGTACCCGCTTTAAAGCAAAAAGTCGCACGCCTTTTCCGAGTCAATGGATCAACATAGCACAAGTTAATCTCAGCTCAATCGAACAGCTGTTTTCTATCAAATATTTTACAATATCATATCAAAACATGTCGGTAAGATAAATTCGTTGTAGCAGGATCACGAGGGTTACATGGGGTTTTATAAAACCAAACGAGGGTCACATAAAACCCCATGTACCCCTCGTAAAACTTATATAGTGCACCACTGTAAACAAAACAATTGTGCCCTAATACAAAAAGGATTATGTACAATTCTGAGAAGGTGTTTATGAACAATACAATAATGGACACATGTACCATTAAGTACTGTGAGTGAGTGAGTATGGTGTTACACCGCTTTGAGCAATATTCCAGCAATATCACGCGGGGGACACCAGAAATTGGCTTCATACATTGTACCCATGTGGGAATCGAACCCGGGTCTTTGGCGTGATGAGCAAACGCTTTGACCACTACACTACCCCACTGCCCCCTGTTAAGTATGCATGCACTGTATTGTAAGGTATGTCTGTACCATACTATATAAAACATGGGTACAAATACATTTACTATACTATAAGTTATGTATGAATACTATACATGTACGAAACAATATGGTACGTCTACAGATTCTTTCATAATAAGGGAGGATCTGATATTCGAAACCTTTATCAAAGGATTGGCGTACGCCCAAGGGACGCAACTCTGTTCCGTATCTGATTTTCCTCTAGTCTCCCAAACACGTGGGAATTCCAAAGCCGACACAATTAGCAACTGTTTTTGTGGTTATGATATGTGACAGGTCTTAGTGTGTGTCATTGTGACCCGACGTCGTAAGGTCGTTGCTCATGCTATTAACATCTGGTTTGCCTGGTCCTGGGAGTTTACAAACAAACAAATAAACAAACAAACTAACAAACTAACTAACTACCCCCCTCCCTTCTCCGCCAGGCAAACAAACAAACAAACCCTCTCCCTTCTTCGCCAGGCATCCAAAACTCCCCCAAAACAGAAAAAAAAAACCACAATAATATTGTTTTTATTGTGTCCGAAAACATGCATACCATTAGGCTCGAGCTCATGAATAAACACATTAAAGGTTAACAAACTGTATTCACGCTGGCCTACAAAAGACACTTTTCGGGCTACATGTAATTTCTCACTGATCCTTTGGTGTGTGAAATTGCAACCTACTTCGGGGCCCTTTAAAGACAGGAAATATCTGTTCAGATTTCAGTTTTATGGTGACAGATCTTTGCCTAACGGTATCACTTCTCTTCGGTAACAAAGATGACCAAAAGCGTCCTCCGAACGCTCCCTTCCCACGGTGTGATAGTCGACACAGGATACGATCATTCTCAAGGGCTGAATAATAGCAAGTTTCATTTTTTAAACTTTATAACGTTAAGGTTACCAAATCATTGATCGTATGATCTCTATAACGCAGAGTTGCTTCATGCATCGGCACATCGTATTCATTGGGATAAGTATACCATTCATGTCAACTTTTCAGATATAGGTGGCGCTTAAGATGCTCCGTTATGCTTGCTTGCTATCACTTATACCGTAAGGGGCGCACAAGAGAGTATATACATTGTCACCTCTAGTTAAAAAAGGCATTCAATTCGTTTAATTTTTTAGAGTATTCACAATACCCTGGACCTCTGTCGTATATCTATATCGTGTGAACGCTCTCCGCGGAATACTTACCGACTCCCTAAGTGGACTGCAAGCCCTCCAAAACAAAAACACCAAAAACCGACCTAAATTAATAAATCAAATACTTAAAAGCTCCAACGACCTAACTAAGACAGGCAAACAAATAACCTTCTTGTGGATACCCGCCCACGTAGGAATATACGGTAACGAAAACGCCGATAAAGCAGCTAAACTATCCCTCAAAATCCCAGAAATAAGCTTAAACTTACCCATCTCAAAATCAGAAATTAAAAGTGTAAACAAGCAAAAACTCACAAAAAAATGGCATAACCTATATCTAAACTCAAATAGCCAAATCAAAAAAGTGCTCAGCAAACCACTAACCAAACCCAAAATTCTCCATCCATCGAAAAAATCGACAGAGTAATCACTAAACTCCAAACAGGACACACCAACCTAAATAACCACCTAAAAAAAATTAAAAACACACTACAGGTAACTGCCCACACTGCAAACAACCAGAAACCCCAGAACACGCACTCATCCACTGCACACACTACCTAATACATCGAACCGCATTACAAACCACCCTCAATCTAAACAAGGCTCTAACTCTAGAAGCAATACTAAACCCACAAAATAAACTAGAAAACTTCAAGGCCTTAGGCGTATTCTTAATAAAAACGGAACTAATAAAACGCATCTAAAAACACAATAACCTACCAAATCAAAATCACATAAACAAACAAACATCCACCATACCCAGCTCCCTTAGTTCTCCTCCCCAATCCCATCGGCATCTATTCCAAATCTCAAAATTCCCCAATTCTATATAAGCAACCCCTAAAACCCCCCTCTTGGGTTGCACAGACCACCTTCGCCCCTTTCGGAAACCCATTAAATGGCCTGGCCGGGCCCGTGTGCGAAATACGCATCAGTCGGAAAGCGCACGTTAAATCTCCAAGGTAAGTAAGTAAGTAAGTAAGTAAGCTCTCCGCGGTCTGCTTCGATACATTTGGCTGAATCGGACTGTCTGGGCGTGTATGTTCGTTATCAGTCACTGATGACTGTTGTGGCACTCGTGTAGCTGAATGAAAACACAATGGAGTTGGCATGGGGGTTGAGAAAAAAGCAAACGTGAACAATGACATGACAAGGCATTAGAGTATCATGAGGCATTTGGGATTGGGACTCGCTTACCCACCTACTCGTCAGCTCGCTCGCTCACCCACTCACTCAATCACCTCCTCGCCCGCTCGCTCATCCACAAGCCATCCATCAACAGAGATCAAGGCTATTTCATCCCACCCGCCTACTATGAACTCATCAAACAATAATCACCTGTTTATTGGCTTCATGCCCCTATTGGCTTCTAGCTATGTGTTTTCTGTCCATCGTGTTGTGACAGCATCATCCCTTTGTTGTCACACCTACCTATGTTATCCCACTCATGTATGCTTTTGTTGTTACTGTTAATCCTCTACTGTTAATCCTCCACCTACTATATATATTCTGCACTATGTCCCTCATTCAGTCTTGCTTGACAACGGTATAAGGACCTTTACCGAAACGTCGCTTTTCACAGTATTAAAGAAGTTGTTATCCATAAAAATATTGTGTCTATCTTGCTCATTCACTCACCTCTTGCCCGGTCACTCACTCACTCACCTCCTCGTCCGCTCACTCATAGTCATTCTCTCACTCACTCACCTCTTCGCCCGCACGCGCGCTCATTCACTCACTCACTCACTCACGACCGCGGGGGCGGTCGGGTAGCCTAGTGGTTAAAGCGTTCGCTCGTCACGCCGAAGAACCGGATTCGATTCCCGACACGGGTACAATGTGTGAAGCCCATTTCTGGTGTTCCCCGCCGTGATTTTGCTTGAATATTGCTAAAAGCGGCGTAAAACCACACTCACTCACTCACGATTCAGCGAACGTTCGGCGATATACCACGATGTGAGGAAGGTCATGCCAAGGGCGAATAACTCTAAATGAACATGCCTTATTGAGGGTCGATCTCCGCGTGTAATAAAATGTGTGCACATATATTCCTTGGCCGTACGTTCATTTGAGTTGGAGTTTCGTTATGGGAACACTACAGTTCTACCTGATGGGCTAATGGAACGTCCCATTTGGCTCGACTCAGTCTAATATAGGTAGCGGAATAAGCCGAGTTTACCCGAGGGATTCCGATCTGAACCGACCATGTATGACAATGTTGGATATTACACTGACAACCACGAAGGTTGAACAATATGTGACAATTAAGGAAGTTGCTGACTGCGACAACTCTATCCATCTGACCGCCCACAACGGAGGTCCTTTTATTACAAACAAAACATGCGCACACGACTATTTGATTTTTATGTTCACGGCACCAAATCGATCTGTGGTGTAACAGGAAGTCAACACATCACCAAAATATTGCGATGCAGTCGAGAATCACCGATGAAAAGTCAAACTGACTAATGTCAAAGACAAGGCGTTATACATCAACCTAAAAGAGAATTTATTACCGTTTTACGACAGGTCGCGTTTTGCTTACGGCAACACTGAAAGAGACCAGAGCCGACGTTCTTTATATAATATGACGTCACTTCAGTGTAGCCTCGTTTTGGAACCTCAGTACATAAAACAATGGAGGAAATACGTAAACGCAAACGTACTTATCTGTAAGCACACTAACATTAAGAAATAATTATATTTTTTTCTGATAGAAGAACGTTTTATACAAATGTGGTTAAATTAGAAAATTTTAAATACCATTAATTGAACTTTATGAAAAACTATTAACACGAGGAGAGATTTCTACGTCTCTACAGTCCACAGAGCGCAATAGAGGGCGCAGAAACCCTGTTCTTTTTCATTTATAAGTTAGAATATATAATCCTTTTTTTTTAAATACCCATCTTAGAAAAGGTGAATGCTCTGAATACAACCCAGCACACATCCTCAACAAAGGGATGTACTGTTGTATCCCAGTCATATCATGATAGTGTTACTGCCAGTGATACACAATGATAACACATACATAAAAAAATTCAACAAACATTTATTACTCAAAACGTTTACAAAACAAAATCAGCCATGTCAAATTCTTATAAACGTCGTTGTATGCATGAAACCTGTGAATAGACAAGAAAGTCATTGAAAATCACAATTCCGCATTTGAGCAAACATACAACTCCATCCTACAAACATTTTCTGAACACAGCAGGTGGAAAAGTTGGATGGAACACATCTTCTTGAGGCAAGGGGTTTAAGTCCAGTTTCGACCCTTGCCGAACTAGGCTTGTATTATGGAGTTAAAGTGTGGCCAATCAAAATCGCGTAACGAAACCGACATCCTGTTCGTAAACAATATGGATAACGTGCAGATTTCAGTCGACTGCAGGATTTGCAAAGGATGTGTACCGTCAACTATTCGTCGACAGATATTTTCATGGTTTTAATCAAGGTGATTACGTGATTTGATGCACTTCTCGAGGAAAGACCCGTTACAATATTACAATATAGATCTTGATCATCGATCATATCGTCTTGATTAGGGCGCCGCCATTTTGTTTGCAATAGATGCAAGTGATATGAGAGGTGGATTCTGATTGGTCAATAGGAGGGACATAGAAGGGAAATAACTCGTAATAGCCACTTGCGGCGTTACGATCGAGCCTGGAAATTCCAGCCTTTTTCGGCAAGGTCGGAAACTGGACTTTTGTAGTAAGTTAACTCCCTCGCCTTGATATTTAGCAATATCCCCATATCACGGCGGGGGACACGAGAAATAGGTTCCTAACTTTGTCGCCATGTGGGAATCGAACCCAGGCCTTATGTGCAACAAGCGTACTTTTAACCACTAGGCTACCCCACCACCCTGATAAAGAGGGAGCACAGTATTCCGAATGAACAAGTAATTATTAAACAGTATCTTTTTAATATCAACACTATCAAATTTGAAAAAATAGCGAGTGAGTGTACATGTAGCTCTTTACGTCGCTCTCCGCAATATTCAAACCTTTCGTATAACCACGGCGGGGGTCGGGGTGGGATGGGGGAGGGTGGGAATCGAACCCTGGTCTTGGGCGAAATGAGCCAGCGCTTTAAATACTAAGGCACTACACAGCCCCATAAGGGAAACTAACATTGCATACCTCTAGTTATGTCTTCTAGTAGGTTCCCTTCACGGCAGGCCGGGACAGGGTTCTGACTCCTGTTGTGCTGGGATGATCGTAGACGTCGTAGAGATAATCGCCATAGCCGCCAAAGTCGCCGTAGTGGCCACTGGGGTACCCTACGTTGACGCCTCCGGGGAACCCGCCGCGGAAGCCGCTAAAGCCGCCGCGGAAGCCACTGAAGCCGCCGAGGAAGCCGCCTGGCACCGCGGGGCGTCTCCCACCATAGAAGGGAATCACGTGTGCACGTGCAGCTCCACACAGCAGCATGGCAGCCAGAATAACAATAGCAGCCTTCATTTTCTGGATATCTGAAATAAAAGGTCGCTGGTTAATTTCGATTCAAAATGTAAAGATTACACGGCATTTTGTCCCATGTCATGATGTCTCCATGTCACCAACTAGTCCTTGTGTTCAATTGTGTGTCATATTTTGTGTGTGTTTCCTTGTTTGCTCTAATGTTTTGTTTGTTTGTTTGTTGTAGTAAGTGAGTGAGTGAGTTGGGTTTAACGCCGCCTTTAACAGTATTCCAGTTATATCACGGCGTGTCAGCTTAATGTGGGAGGAAAGCCCGAAGTGATGCAGGTCTCAGACGTTTACCACTTCGGTGAAACCCACGAGCACGGGTACGGTGCTGACAAACCTAGAAACATAATTGGGGCGAACCGGGATTCGAACCAACAATCATAGGTTTCTGGCGTGCCCAAGGGACGCAACTTTGCACAGCGAATCGCGGCGCCTTAGACGACTGGGCCATCCGTGCCCCCTACATTAAGAAAGTAAGGCATAAACAACTTTTCAGTCAACCTTCAAATTACAGTCGAATCTCGTTGTGTCGAACTTGCGGGGACTTAGAAAAAGTTCGAGTTATCCGGGGTTCGAGACATTGGGGGAAATGTATGCTTAATTTGGATTTCGACACATCCAGGTTCGACACATCAAGGTTCGACTTACAAAAAAATATTTGCTACATCCGTCTTTCCAATTACACGGTGCTGATTGAATCCAACAACAAACATTTATTTTTTTGAAATATGTGAATGAACAATATCCTGGTTTTCCAGGCGCAACTTCAATGTATGACAAATGACCACCAGTGATACACATTAATATCAATAGTGTCCTTATAGGCTATTCCTTCTCTCGCTCGTTGTTAAGCTTTCGCTAGTCTCACCATATTCGGGGCGGTCGGGGGGCATAGTGGTTAAAGCGTTCGCTCGTCACGCCGAAGACCCGGGTTCGATTCCCGACATGGGTACAATGTGTGAAGCCCATTTCTGGTGTCCCCCGCGTGATATTGCTGGAATATTGCTAAAAGCGGCGTAAAACCATACTCACTCACTCTCCATATTCAAACAATCACGGAGGAGGATATTCACACATTGAAACAGTTGGGAGGCAAACCGGATCTTGGGGGACACGAGCGAATGCTTCAACCATGTGTCATCCAACCACCCACCCAGTATTTCAAGTACCACAATGCGTGCATCATCATCTCGAGAAGCACCGTGTGATTAGAAAACGTCAAAATAGTGGCGGTCGGGTAGCCTGGTGGTTAAAGCGTTCGCTCGTCACACCGAAGACCCGGGTTCGATTCCCGACATGGGTACAATGTGTGAAGCCCATTTCTGGTATCCCCTGCCGTGATATTGCTGGAATATTGCTAAAAACGGCGTAAAACCATACTCGCCCAGAAAACGTCAACGCCAGAAAATACATAGTCTCGAAGGTGTTGAAAAAAAAATGTGACCACCAAGAGATAAGGGACCTTATGTGAAAAATCACATCTCATTTTATTTTTAAACTATTTTTAGTATCTTAGGACCACAAAAATACAATTCATCAGAGATACATGAACTCATTTTCCTATCATAACTGTTTATGTAATATTTGCACTTTTCAGATATAATATCTGTTTAATTGAAAAAAACCCACATGTGCTGAAATTGAAACGTTTTAAAATTCAGTTATTACCTAAAAAATGATTACGAACCAACGAGAGAAAAATAAGACATTGTTGTACCGTCGCACATATGGCGATTTTAAAAGGAGCAGGTTGACTTCAAACGCCTTTCTTTATGACGTCACAGCACAATTGTATCATAGCACCCAAAATGTCCCTATTGTCCTGAGGGGTCTCAAATAGTGATAAAAATTATATGAATTTATGACACCAGGTATTCTGCACTTATCGGAATACAATCTTGATTATGTTTGAAGAAGTTCTAATCAACCGAGAAACACCAGTTGCACAATACGTTCTTACCTGTCTACTTCAGAGGGTCGGTGGAAGATCGAATGTATGTTCCGGGGTCCTCCAAGGCTTAATATTGGGTGGCACAGTAGTGCCCCATTGGTCATCCATCATGATGATACATCAACTGTCTCTTTGTTCCTCAATGATGACGTCGTTATTTCAAGCTGCCCTTTCGTTTCCCCCGACGATTTATCATTGGTTATCTTTCTGATGACATTGATGGAGAAAACCTTAATTCTGTTTTAAGTATCTCACCATGAATACTGTGCAAAAGACATTCATGGATTAAGTACCTTTCTTAGATTTTATTACATGTATTTATGGTAAGTATTTATGGCATCAGCAACTTTCTTGGATTTTATTACACACACACACACACACACACACACACACACACACACACACACACACATAATGTCAGTTATATTATGTAAGTCAATGTAAGTTAAAGTTTTCTTTACACCTGAAGATCTTGTGTGGATAAAAGAGTTTTAACAAGCACGAATAGCTGGACTTTTTTTTGTATATTTAATACTTACACGCCTGATGAAATCACTTGTTTATATATTATACGCAATTGATATATATATATTTATAACTGTTAAGATGCTATTTTCGGATGGAATATTAATATCCAACATACATATTTGATTATACCACCGTATATATATTTATACTTATTATTGACAAATATTTTTAACAAATATGTATGTTGGATATTAATATTCCATCCGAAAATAGCATTTTAACAGTTTCGATTTGGAGTCATGCCTAAAGCACAACTTCACCAACTACGTTTTACCATTCAATACATCATGTTTATTACGGCAAGATCAATATGTCATGGTGCTGACAGTCACCCGGACGAGCGAATTGTATTTATATCATGTCATTATATATTGTACCGCCTCTGGTCTAGTGGAGAGAATTTCTGCCCGTGAGCTGGAGGTCGCTGGTTCTATCCCCTTGCTGCGTCATACCAAAAGACGTTAAAAGATGGCACTTGTTCTTACCATGTTTGGAGATCGGCATTAAGGGGATAAAACAAGAGACAGCATCACGAGTCTGATACATCTATGTTAAACTTTGGCGTATTATCTCAGTGGGCAAGTACTATAAAGAAGTCTGGACTAGTACAAGCAACCGCACGCACGCACGCACGCTCGCACGCACACACGTCCATGCACGTTATGTAAGGGAAATAATTTTTGACGTGACGTTAAACCCCATTTCACCTTACCCCAGCTATATTTTATATTTGTATATCATGTAGTGTCTGGCTCATTTGATTCCTGATACCTAAATCGTTGGAAGATGTTGTTTGTTTGTTTGTTGTTAAACGCCGCACTCAGCAATATTCCAGCTATATGACGTCGGTCTGTAAATAATCGAGTCTGAACCAGATAATCCAGTGATTGACATGATGAGCATCAATATACGCAATTGGGATGCGATGACATGCATCAACCAAGTCAGCGAGCCTGACCACCCGGTCCCGTTAGTCGCCTCTTACGACAAACATAGTCGTCTCCTACGACAAGCATTACGCAATTGGGATGCGATGACATGCATCTACCAAGTCAGCGAGCCTGACCACCCGATCCCGTTAGTCGCCTCTTACGAGGAACCCGTAGAAAGTGGATATCACTTGAAAAAATGAGCTGTTATTACTCTCGCAGTGCTTATCCAGTGAAAGCCCAGCGGTGCGCTTTTCTCATTTCGAAAACAAAACCGAAAACTTCTGATAGGACAGGACATGCTTACCTTTTCTGTGAACACCTGGTGTCGTCACTGATTTTCAGTGTTTTCAATTTTCAAAGCTATTTTGCCCGTTACGCCAAATGGAATCTGTTGCGGCGGATAATCAAGATTGGTTATTATGCTGCCTTGACGTTATATATCATATGATCTAAAAGACATATGGATACCTTAAAGCACTGCTAGGTAAGGGATTCTTTTGCTAATATTTATACGAGTGTTTTGAGTGATTTCGGAATTTACCCGTTTGAAGTGTGTTATTTACCAACAAACTGACATTCCTATCTATTCTACTCAGTTTATAATTTCTCATTTTCTGTGTGTTTTTTCACACCAAAGGTTTTGTTTCCATGACAAGATCATGATGCTTATTACCCTCTAACAAATTCGCATAAACTCGGCACTTATTTTTATTGCTACCGTTTCAGTGAACAAAATGTAGGTGAATTACGAGATAAGCCTCCTGTTTTTTTTAAAATTTGGTGTCCTCTCATTGTAGACTGGAGACATCTTGTTTCAATTTGAAACCGAAGCGGAAAGACTTGCGGTGAGGTAACGTTGACTTTCAAATCCCCGCCTGCCATATCCTAACGTTAGATCAAACCTTCCTATGAAGGCTAAATGGATATATCTCTCTGGTTTTCAACACACACTCTTCCAAAATAAATGGCTAAATGGATGATACATCTCTTTGGATTTCAACATTATTCGCTCCAATAAAGTGGTATTGCGATATGCCGAATTGAGGCTCAAATGGTGGATGATGGAGATTTGCGATAAAATGTCGGTCTTAAAAAGGTTTGTTAACAACATAAATTAATGTCATGAAGAAAGTTTTTATTCTACCTTTGTAATGTTTAATTTGGTTTTTATTATCGTTTCTTCTGAGAACATGACCTCAAAAGCGAACGTTTGGATGATGTTTCCAAAAGCATGGAGTTGGAGGCCATTGAACGAGCGGGAAGGAAAGGAAGTGGATTTATGGGTCAGTTTTGTTTGTTTGTTTGTTGTTTAATGCTGCACTCAGCCATATTCCAGCTATATGACGGCGATCTGTAAATAATCGAGTCTGGACCAGACAATCCAGTGATTGACATCATGATTTTGTTTGTTATTGGTCAGTTTTGTTTGTTTGTTGTTTAACGCCACACTCAGCAATATTCCAGCTATGTGACGGCGATCTGTAAATAATCGAGTCTGGACCAGACAATCCAGTGATTGACATCATGATTTTGTTTGTTATTGGTCAGTTTTGTTTGTTTGTTGTTTAACGCCACACTCAGCAATATTCCAGCTATGTGACGGCGATCTGTAAATAATCGAGTCTGGACCAGACAATCCAGTGATTGACATCATGACCATCGATCCACAAAATTGGAATAGATGACATGCACAAACCAAGTCAGCGAGCCTAACCACCCGATCCCGTTTTTCGCCTCTTACGACAAGCATAGTCGCCTTTTACGGCAAGCATGACTGTCAATGGCTGTCACTGATATACAAACAGCCTCAACAGACCAAATACACTTTCAATGAACTACTAAAAAATGTACTACATTATTAGTTCACTTTGTTCACATAGTTGAAAGTTAGTCATGTTTAGAACTCTTTGACCCTCTTAGCCCTCGAATGTACCCATGCTCATGGTTTCAATCACTGGGTTGACTGGTCCAGACTCGATTATTAGCATATGGCTGGAGTATTGCTGAGTGCGACTTTAAGCAACAAACAAACAAAACATCAGACAAACAAACCGTGTTGAAGAAAACCGCCATTTTGGTGTGAATTAGTTATCATGATACGACTCGCTTTGACTTGGAGTCTAGCCTAGTGGTCTATTGGTAGAGCGTCCACACGGGCTGAAGGCCGGGGCTCAGAAGAAGACGTTAGAAGATGGTACTTCTCGGCATTACGGGGGTTAAAATAAGAATTGGTCGACTCCGCGGTCTAGTGGTAGAGCGTCCGCCCGGAGAGCGGAAGATCCGGGGTTCGATGGTCCCTGGCCGCGTCATACCAAAAGACGTCAACAGATGGTGCTTGTTGTTATCCTGCCTGGCTCCTGGTCGCCGCGGAGTCAGTATACTGTGTCTGAGTGGGGTATTCATATTAAACTGCGGCTCGGTATCTCAGTGGGCTAGCACTGTAAGATCGGCTTAAGTTCGGACTAGTACAAGCAGACAGAGAGACAGACAGACAGATCAAGGTATCTGTGACATGGTGTCTGGTAGACTGTGAACTGTTGAGATCGAGGTATGTGGGACAATGTGGTATGTCAGACTGTCAGTTGTTGTGATCGAGGTATGTGTGACAATGTGGTGTGGTAGACTGTCAGTTGTTGTGATCGAGGTATGTGTGACAATGTGGTGTGGTAGACTGCCAACTGTTGAGATCGAGGTATGTGTGACAATGTGCTGTGGTAGACTGTCAACTGTTGGGGTCGAGGTTTGTGTGACAATGTGGTGTGTTAGACTGTCAGCTGTTGAGATCGAGGTATGTGTGACAATGTGGTATGTCAGACTGTTAGCTGTTGAGATCGAGGTATGTGTGACAATGTGGTATGTCATTTTGTCAGCTGTTGAGATCAAGGTATGTGTGACAATGTGGTGTGTTAGACTGTCAGTTGTTGTGATCGAGGTATTTGTGACAATGTGGTATGTCAGACTGTTAGCTGTTGAGATCGAGGTATGTGTGACAATGTGGTATGTCAGATTGTCAGCTGTTGAGATCAAGGTATGTGTGACAATGTGGTGTGTTAGACTGTCAGCTGTTGAGATCAAGGTATGTGTGACAATGTGGTGTGTTAGACTGTCAGTTGTTGTGATCGAGGTATGTGTGACAATGTGGTGTGGTAGACTGCCAACTGTTGAGATCGAGGTATGTGTGACAATGTGCTGTGGTAGACTGTCAACTGTTGGGGTCGAGGTTTGTGTGACAATGTGGTGTGTTAGACTGTCAGTTGTTGTGATCGAGGTATGTGTGACAATGTGGTGTGGTAGACTGCCAACTGTTGAGATCGAGGTATGTGTGACAATGTGCTGTGGTAGACTGTCAACTGTTGGGGTCGAGGTTTGTGTGACAATGTGGTGTGTTAGACTGTCAGCTGTTGTGATCGAGGTATTTGTGACAATGTGGTATGTCAGACTGTTAGCTGTTGAGATCGAGGTATGTGTGACAATGTGGTATGTCAGATTGTCAGCTGTTGAGATCAAGGTATGTGTGACAATGTGGTGTGTTAGACTGTCAGCTGTTGAGATCGAGGTGTGTGTGACATTTCGGTATGTCAGACTGTTAGCTGTTGAGATCGAGGTATGTGTGACAATGTGGTATGTCATTTTGTCAGCTGTTGACATCAAGGTATGTGTGACAATGTGGTGTGTTAGACTGTCAGTTGTTGTGATCGAGGTATGTGTGACAATGTGGTATGTCAGACTGTTAGCTGTTGAGATCGAGGTATGTGTGACAATGTGGTATGTCAGATTGTCAGCTGTTGAGATCAAGGTATGTGTGACAATGTGGTGTGTTAGACTGTCAGCTGTTGAGATCAAGGTATGTGTGACAATGTGGTGTGTAAGACTGTCAGTTGTTGTGATCGAGGTATGTGTGACAATGTGGTATGTCAGACTGTTAGCTGTTGAGATCTAGGTATGTGTGACAATGTGGTATGTCAGATTGTCAGCTGTTGAGATCGAGGTATGTGTGACAATGTGGTGTGTTAGACTGTCAGCTGTTGAGATCAAGGTATGTGTGACAATGTTGTTTTGTAGACTGTCAGCTGTTGAGATCGAGGTATGTGTGACAATGTGGTGTGTTAGACTGTCAGCTGTTGTGATCGAGGTATGTGTGACAATGTGGTATGTCAGACTGTTAGCTGTTGAGATCGAGGTATATGTGACAATGTGGTATGTCAGATTGTCAGCTGTTGAGATCAAGGTATGTTTGACAATGTGGTGTGTTAGACTGTCAGCTGTTGAGATCGAGGTATGTGTGACAATGTGGTGTGTTAGACTGTCAGCTGTTGAGATCGAGGTATATGTGACAATGTGGTGTGTTAGACTGTCAGCTGTTGAGATCGAGGTATGTGTGACAATGTGGTATGTCAGACTGTCAGCTGTTGTGATCGAGGTATGTGTGACACTGTGGTGCGTTAGACTGTCAGCTGTTGAGATCGAGGTATGTGTGATAATGTGGTATGTCAGACTGTTAGCTGTTGAGATCGAGGTATGTATGACAATGTGGTATGTCATTTTGTCAGCTGTTGACATCAAGGTATGTGTGACAATGTGCTGTGTTAGACTGTCAGTTGTTGTGATCGAGGTATGTGTGACAATGTGGTGTGTTAGACTGTCAGCTGTTGAGGTCGAGGTATGTGTGACAATGTGGTGTGTTAGACTGTCAGCTGTTGAGATCGAGGTATGTGTGACAATATGGTATGTCAGACTGTTAGCTGTTGAGATCGAGGTATGTGTGACAATGTGGTATGTCATTTTGTCAGCTGTTGAGATCAAGGTATGTGTGACAATGTGGTGTGTTAGACTGTCAGTTGTTGTGATCGAGGTATGTGTGACAATGTGGTATGTCAGACTGTTAGCTGTTGAGATCGAGGTATGTGTGACAATGTGGTATGTCAGATTGTCAGCTGTTGAGATCAAGGTATGTGTGACAATGTGGTGTGTTAGACTGTCAGCTGTTGAGATCAAGGTATGTGTGACAATGTGGTGTGTTAGACTGTCAGTTTTTGTGATCGAGGTATGTGTGACAATGTGGTGTGTTAGACTGTCAGCTGTTGAGATCGAGGTATGTGTGACAATGTGGTATGTCAGACTGTTAGCTGTTGAGATCGAGGTATGTGTGACAATGTGGGATGTCATTTTGTCAGCTGTTGACATCAAGGTATGTGTGACAATGTGGTGTGTTAGACTGTCAGTTGTTGTGATCGAGGTATGTGTGACAATGTGGTATGTCAGACTGTTAGCTGTTGAGATCGAGGTATGTGTGACAATGTGGTATGTCAGATTGTCAGCTGTTGAGATCAAGGTATGTGTGACAATGTGGTGTGTTAGACTGTCAGCTGTTGAGATCAAGGTATGTGTGACAATGTGGTGTGTTAGACTGTCAGTTGTTGTGATCGAGGTATGTGTGACAATGTGGTATGTCAGACTGTTAGCTGTTGAGATCTAGGTATGTGTGACAATGTGGTATGTCAGATTGTCAGCTGTTGAGATCGAGGTATGTGTGACAATGTTGTGTGTTAGACTGTCAGCTGTTGAGATCGAGGTATGTGTGACAATGTTGTCTTGTAGACTGTCAGCTGTTGAGATCGAGGTATGTGTGACAATGTGGTGTGTTAGACTGTCAGCTGTTGTGATCGAGGTATGTGTGACAATGTGGTATGTCAGACTGTTAGCTGTTGAGATCGAGGTATATGTGACAATGTGGTATGTCAGATTGTCAGCTGTTGAGATCAAGGTATGTTTGACAATGTGGTGTGTTAGACTGTCAGCTGTTGAGATCGAGGTATGTGTGACAATGTGGTGTGTTAGACTGTCAGCTGTTGAGATCGAGGTATATGTGACAATGTGGTGTGTTAGACTGTAAGCTGTTGAGATCGAGGTATGTGTGACAATGTGGTGTGTTAGACTGTCAGCTGTTGAGATCGAGGTATGTGTGACACTGTGGTGTGTTAGACTGTCAGCTGTTGAGATCGAGGTATGTGTGACAGTGTGGTGTAATAGACTGTCAGCTGTTGAGATCGAGGTATGTGTGACAATGTGGTATGTCAGACTGTCAGCTGTTGAGATGGAGGTATGTTTGACAGTGTGGTATGTCAGATTGTCAGCTGTTGAGATCGAGGTATGTGTGACAATGTGTTGTGTTAGACTGTCAGCTGTTGAGATCGAGGTATGTGTGACAATGTGGTATGTCAGACTGTCAGCTGTTATGATCGAGGTATGTGTGACAATGTGATGTGTTAGACTGTCAGCTGTTGAGATCGAGGTATGTGTGACAGTGTGGTGTGTTAGACTGTCAGCTGTTGAGATCGAGGTATGTGTGATAAATTGTGGTGTGGTAGACTGTCAACTGTTGAGATCGAGGTATGTGTGACAATGTGGTTTGTTAGACAGTCAGCTGTTGAGATCGAGGTATGTGTGACAATGTGGTGTGGTAGACTGTCAGCTGTTGAGATGGAGGTATGTGTGACAATGTTGTCTTGTAGACTGTCAACTGTTGGGGTCGAGGTATGTGTGACAATGTGGTGTGGTAGACTGTCAGCTGTTGAGATCGAGGTATGTGTGACAATGTGGTGTGTTAGACTGTCAGCTGTTGAGATCGAGGTATCTGTGACAATGTTTTTGTGCTGGACTGTCAACTGTGACAATACTGTCAGCTAAAATTCTTCTTTCACTAAAAAAACCCAGAGTTATGTAAATTTTATACCTTTGCATCCCAACCATGTGATAATAATGGTACTTTTATCCAGAAGAGACCTGTAAAGATCCGGGTAAAGAATAGGCCTTCAGCAACTTATGCTTGCCATAAAAGGCGACTATGCTTGTCGTAAGAGGCGACTAGCGGTATTTGGTGGTCATGCTCGCTGACTTGGTTGATTAATGTCAACTTGTCCCCATTGCGTGGATCACTGGATTGTCTGGTCCAGATACGATTATTTACATACTGCCGTTACAGCTCGAAGGTTATCGAGTGCGGCGTTAAACAACAAACAAACAACTTTATCCAGATGAACGTGCAACGGATGGCAAATGACTGGAAATGATTGAGACATTCTAAAAATACGTAATAAATGAACACCAACACATACTTTTAACTGATTTTTTTTTTACTAAAAGGCATTCATGTCCAAATCTCACAAAATCGTTCTTCTGTGGCTGAGACCTGTGAAAAGACAAGAAAATCAATTCTGCATTTGAGTAAACATAAAACACCATCCTTGAAGCACTTGCTGAATTTACTGTACATAACTAACTGTTTGACTAGTTTTATACGTCGCTTTTAGCTATTACCGATCAACATCCAAGCGGGGAACAAGAGAAAAGGGCTTCAAACTTTTCCTCAAGTGAGGAATCTAACCAAGAGCTTAGGGACGACGAGCGAATGATTTAACCACTAGGCTACGCAATCCCCTGAACATTATAGGGGAAATCAAATACTTGCGTTATTTGTTATTTTTACACCCATTATAAATAAGTGAATAGCGCTTTTCGCCACTTTTAACAATATTCGAACCTTAACCCCGGTGGAAATTCAAAAGTAGTCTTCACACATTGCACCCATGCTGGGAAACGAACCCGGATTTCAACACAGCCACTACACCGCCCCATAAGGAAATAGAACACTTCACACCTCTAATTAGGTCTTCTAGTAAGTTCCCTTTACGACTGTTGTGGGCACGGCGACTGCTCTGACTCCGGCTCTGCCTGCGACTCTGCCTGGATGATCGTAGATGTCGTAATAATCGCCATAACCACCAAAGTCGCCAAAGTCGCCGTAGTGGCCTCTGGGGAATCCACCGAATCCACTGAATCCACCGCGGAAGCCGCCGGGAAAGCCGCCGGGAAAGCCGCCGGGAAAGCCGCCTCGCACCCTGGAGCGCCTCCCACCAAAGAAACGAGGACTCGCATGCGCAGCTCCGCACAGCAGCACAGCAACCAGGATAATAATGGCAACCTTCATTTTCTGGATATCTGAAATAAAAGGACGCTGGCTAGATTCATATTGAAAACGTAAAGACCACACGGTATTTTAGTCTCCTGTTGTGGTGTCTCTATGTCCTTTTTTAATTTGGTTTTATGGTTTTGTTTGTTTGTTTGCTGTAATGTTGTGCTTATTTGTTTGTTTACTGTTTTACGGTTGTCGTGATTATGTCGCGGTACTGGCCATGGGGACTTCTGTGCTGAATGTTGTTTGTTTGTTTGTTTGTTTGTTGTAAAACGCAACATTCGGCAATTTTCAAGCTATGGTAACGGGACGGAATAAACGAGACTGGTCCGGACAATCGATTGGTTGATATCATGAGCAACAAACCACACTTCCGGTGTATGATGACATGCACTTAAACCCGGACTCGACCACCTCCGCGGTCCAGTGGTAGAGCGTCCGTCCGGAAAGCGGAAGATCCGGGGTTCGATGATCCCTGGCCGCGTCATACCAAAAGATTTCAAAAGATGGTACTTGTTGTTACCTTGCCTGGTGCCTGGTCGGATCGGAGTCAGTGTAGTGTGTCTGAGTGGGTATTCATGTTAAACTGCGGCATGGTATCTCAGTGGGCTAGCACTATGAAATCGGCATTGGTCCGGACTAGTACAAGCAGACAGACAGACACACACACACACACGTGCATGCACGTCGCTATATAAGTGCCATCATCTTGAACGCTACTTCAAACTCACTTCAACTCTAATCCGGAATCTCCAATCTGCGTGATGTTGTGTTAGATGCATTAAATACTACCATAATTCATGTTTACCGTTTTGCCCTTTCACGTTTCTCAAACACATATTTGACACATACATGTAAACAGAATACCTGTCAAAACCGCTGCAAAGTCGTTAACTTACTACATTACTTCATCATTCGCCTCCAGGATCGAGCGGTCAGACCCACTGACTTGGCTGATGCATGTCATCGTATCCAACTTGCGTGGATCGATGCTCATGATGTCAACCACTGTATTGTCCGGCCTGGCTTCAATTATTTACAAACCGCCGCCATATAAGTGTAATACTGCTGAGTGCCGCGTTAACGAAACAAAACGTATTCAAGAAATTTGTGCTTACCTGTATACTTCAGTTGGACAGTGAAAGACCGAATGCATCTTCCCAAGCTCTCCGTGGCTTATATAGGGGAGGCAGACAGAATTCATTACCCACTGGTCTATCGATCATAATCATGCGTCAAATCCATCTCTTTGTTCCAACAGTCATGACTGATCATTTCCAGCTTCCCTTCCAGTTTCCCTGGAGACGGACCACGTGATGGACTCTACTGACATTTATGTACTAATCACTCTACTTTAGGTAACTGAGCTTGTTACACTAAGTGATCTTAGTGCTGAGATTATCGTACGACTATGTTAAAGAATAGGAGCGAAAGCCGTACCGCTAACATCGCGGAGTGAGAGGATACAGTTTACACCATTTAGCAAATTGAATATTCCAAATTGAATAATCCAGAAATGGGCTTCACATTGTGTACACGTGTGGGTATCGAACTCGGGTTCTCGGGGTGACGAGCAAACGCTTCAACCACTAGGCTACCCCATCGCCCTAGCTGTGTTTAACAGGGCCCTGAATACTAGTACTATGCAAACATATTGTACTAGATTTATTATTTTTCTAAGATGCGAACCGCCTCCGTGGTCTAGAGGTAGAGCGTCCGCCCGGAGAGCGGAAGGTCCGGGGATCGATCCCCGGCCGCTTCATACCAAAAGGCGTTAAAAGATGGTACTTGTTGTTACCCTGTCTGGCGCTCGGCATTAAGGGGCTAACACAAGGACTGGTCGGCTCGGAGTCAGTATACTGTGTCTGAGTGAGGTATTCATGTTAAACTGCAGCATGGTATCTCAGTGAGCTAGCACTATAAATCGGCATCAGTCCGCACTAGAACAAGCAGCCTCACACACACGTTCACGCACGTCGCTATATAAGTGCAATAATCTTGGACGCGACGTTAAACAAAATTTCACCTCACCTCTTAGATGCGAGTAAAAATACTCCCACTGGAGTTGGAATGAGTTATAATGTACCCAAAGGCATGAAACATTTTATTACATGTATGATATGAAGAGAATATATCCCGTTGAATTGTAATGATACGTTTTAAACAGTGTTATAATAGTATTGTGTGTGAACACTTTCGTAACAGTAGTGTAAGAAAAATGTATTTAGGGCCTTAAGATTCCATCCAGTAACCTGGCCCAGTCGTCTAAGGCGCCGCGATTCGCTGTGCAAAGTTGCATCCCTTGAGCACGCCAGAAACAAATGATTGTGGGTTCGAATCCCTGTTCGCCGCGATTATGTTTCAAGGTTTGTCAGCACCATACCCGTGCTCGTGGGTTTCACCGAAGTGGTAAACGTCTGAGACCTGCATCACTTCGGGCTTTCCTCCACGTTTAAGCTGACACGCCGCGATATAACTGGTATACTGTTAAAAGCGGCGTTTAACCCAACTCACTCACTCACTCCCATCCAGTAACCGAAATGCGACAATGTCTCTTCTTGGATTCCATAGGAAATAGCGTTGATGAAGTTTGAGCTTGGAGGCTTGTTTAAAGTATATCAACTACGCTCTACCATTCAATCACGTTTATTACGTCACGATGAGTACCGTTTGATGCTACCACTCACGGTGACGTGCGGATAGTGTTTTTGACATGTATATGTTGTTATTTATGCTTGTAAAAGATTTAAAATGTCTGGCCTATATGATCCATGAAACCCGAAATGGTTGGAAGATGTAGAAAGTGGACGCCATTTAATACAATAAACTATTATTCTGGCAGTGCGCATCCACTTAACGAGAGAAGGAATATAAGTTAAGGTCCTATGCATGATATGCTTTTCTCATATATTTATGTTTATCTGATATACTTTTACCTTATTTTTCATTGCTTCAGTTTTCAGTGCACTGATTAGTTTATTTTTATCTGAATATATGTTTTGTTTTTATAATGAATGCTCTTTTCAAACCTTTTAAACAAGATAAAACATTGTCAATAACGTAACAATGAACAACGTCATGGGCTTATTCGTACTGGTCCTTATATAATTGTATAGTTAAATGTTTGTTTCAGTTTTCAAATATTTTGTGGTGTTTAGTTCATTATTAATTTTCTGCCTGTTCGTTCATTCGTTCATTCGTATGTTGGACTGACAACTGAGGAGGTCTTGGCATGCGTGGCAATGTCATGCATCAGTCTGTCAAATATAAACGTCTTGGTATGCGTGACAATGTTATGCTTCAGTCTGTCAAATGTAAAAGTCTTGGTATATGTGACAATGTTGTATGCTTGACGCTCAACTGTGGAGATCGGTGCATCTGTGACAATGTTCAGTGTTAGACTGTCTGTGGTGGTATGTGTGACAATACTGTCAGTTACAATTGGAACTCTGCCAAATACCTTCAGTAACATGTCCAAACATGACGAGCGTGTAAATTGTACATTTTTATGTCTCACCCAGAACCATCGATGACAACGTTGTACTTAAACCATCTACCATGAAGGTTGTACAGTCTGTGGCAATGTTGTATGTTACACTGACAACCATGAAGGTTGTACAATCTGTGGCAATGTTGTATGTTACACTGACAACCATGAAGGTTATACAGTTTGTGGCAATGTTGTATGTTACACTGACAACCATGAAGGTTGTACAATCTGTGACAATGTTGTATGTTACACTGACAACCATGAAGGTTGTACAGTTTGTGGCAATGTTGTATGTTACACTGACAACCATGAAGGTTGTACAATCTGTGGCAATGTTGTATGTTACACTGACAACCATGAAGGTTATACAGTTTGTGGCAATGTTGTATGTTACACTGACAACCATGAAGGTTGTACAATCTGTGACAATGTTGTATGTTACACTGACAACCATGAAGGTTACAAAATCTGTGACAATGTTGTATGTTACACTGACAACCATGAAGGTTGTACAATCTGTGACAATGTTGTATGTTACACTGACAACCATGAAGGTTATACAGTCTGTGGAAATGTTGTATGTTACACTGACAACCATGAAGGTTGTACAGTTTGTGGCAATGTTGTATGTTACACTGACAACCATGAAGGTAAAACAGTCTGTGACAATGTTGTATGTTACACTGACAACCATGACGGTTGTACAGTCTGTGACAATGTTGTATGTTACACTGACAACCATGAAGGTTGTTGGTAGACTGTGAACAGTTGAGATCGAGGTATCTGTGACATGGTGTCTGGTAGACTGTCAGCTGTTGAGATCGAGGTAATTGTGACAATATGGTGTGGTAGACTGTCAAATGTTGAGATCGAGGTATATGTGACAATGTGGTGTGTTAGACTGTCAACTGTTTAGATCGAGGTATGTGTGACAATGTGGTATGTCAGACTGTCAGCTGTTGTTATCGAGGTATTTGTGACAATGTGGTGTGTTAGAATGTCAGCTGTTGAGATCGAGGTATGTGTGACAATGTGGTGTGGTAGACTGTCAGCTGTTGAGATCGAGGTATGTGTGACATCGTGGTGTGGTAGACTGTCAGCTGTTGAGATCGAGGAATGTGTGACAATGTGGTGTGTTAGAATGTCAGCTGTTGAGATCGAGGTATTTGTGACAATGTGGTGTGTTAGAATGTCAGCTGTTGTGATCGAGGTATGTGTGACAATGTGGTGTGTTAGAATGTCAGCTGTTGTGATCGAGGTATTTGTGACAATGTGGTGTGTTAGAATGTCAGCTGTTGTGATCGAGGTATTTGTGACAATGTGGTGTGTTAGACTGTCAGCTGTTGAGTATCGAGGTATGTGTGACAATGTGGTGTGTTAGATTGTCAGATGTTGAGATCGAGGTATCTGTGACAATGTTTTTGTGCTGGACTGTCAACTGTGACAATACTGTCAGCTAAAAATTCTTCTTTCACTAAAACCCCTCAAAGTTATGTACATTTTGTACCTTTGCATCCCAACCATGTGATAATAATGGTACTTTTATCCAGAAGAGACCTGTAAAGATCCGGGTAAAGAATAGGTCTTCAGCAACTTATGCTTGCCGTAAAAGGCGACTATGCTTGTCGTAAGAGGCGACTAGCGGGATTTGGTTGTCATGCTCGCTGACTTGGTTGATTAATGTCATCTTGTCCCCATTGTGTGGATCGATGCTTATGCTGTCAATCACTGGATTGTCTGGTCCAGATACGATTATTTACATACTGCCGTTACAGCTCGAAGGTTATCGAGTGCGGCGTTAAACAACAAACAAACAACTTTATCCAGATGAACGTGCAGCGGATGGCAAATGACTGGAAATGATTGAGACATACTAAAAATACGTAATAAATGAACACCAACACATACTTATAACTGATATTTTTTTACTAAAAGGCATTCATGTCCAAATCTCACAAAATCGTTCTTCTGTTGCTGAGACCTGTGAAAAGACAAGAAAATCATTCAAAAATACAATTCTGCATTTGAGAAAACATAAAACACCATCCTTGAAGCACTTGCTGAATTTACTGTACATAACTAACTGTTTGACTAGTTTTATACGTCGCTTTTAGCTATTTCCGATCAACATCCAAGCGGGGAACACGAGAAAAGGGCTTCAAACTTTTCCTCAAGTGAGGAATCTAACCAAGACCTTAGGGACGACGAGCGAATGATTTAACCACTAGGCTACCCAATCCCCTGAACATTATAGGGGAAATCAAATACTTGCGTTATTTGTTATTTTTACACCCATTATAAATAAGTGAATAGCGCTTTTCGCCACTTTTAACAATATTCGAACCTTAATCACGGTTGAAATTCAAAAGTAGTCTTCACACATTGCACCCATGCTGGGAAACGAACCCGGATTTCAACACAGCCACTACACCGCCCCATAAGGAAATAGAACACTTCACACCTCTAATTATGTCTTCTAGTAAGTTCCCTTTACGACTGTTGTGGGCACGGCGACTGCTCTGCTTGCGGCTCTGCCTGCGACTGTGCCTGGATGATCGTAGATGTCGTAATAATCGCCATAACCACCAAAGTCGCCAAAGTCGCCGTAGTGGCCTCTGGGGAATCCACCGAATCCACTGAATCCACCGCGGAAGCCGCCGCGGAAGCCGCCGGGAAAGCCGCCGGGAAATCCGCCGGGAAATCCGCCGGGAAAGCCGCCGGGAAAGCCGCCGGGAAAGCCGCCTCGCACCCTGGAGCGCCTCCCACCAAAGAAACGAGGACTCGCATGCGCAGCTCCGCACAGCAGCACAGCAACCAGGATAATAATGGCAACCTTCATTTTCTGGATATCTGAAATAAAAGGACGCTGGCTAAATTCTTATTGAAAACGTAAAGACCACACGGTATTTTTGTCTCCTGTTGTGGTGTCTCTATGTCACTAATTTGTCCTTGTTTGATTTGGTTCTATGGTTTTGTTTGTTTGTTTGCTGTAATGTTGTGCTTATTTATTTGTTTGCTGTTTTACGGTTGTCGTGATTATGTCGCGGTACTGGCCATGGGAACTTCTGTACTGAATGTTGTTTGTTTGTTTGTTGTAAAACGCAACATTCGGCAGTATTCAAGCTATGGTAACGGGCCGGAATAATCGAGACTTTCCGGAAAATCGATTGGTTGATATTATGAGTAACAATCCGCACTGCCGGTGTATGATGACATGCAAATAAACAAATCTTCATAGGTTCCTGAGGATCTCTCTAACCCGGACTCGACCACCTCCGCGGTCTAGAGGTAGAACGTCCGTCCGGAAAGCGGAAGATCCGGGGTTCGATGATCCCTGGCCGCGGCACACCAAAAGATTTCGAAAGATGGTACTTGTTGTTACCCTGCCTGGCGCCTGGTTGATCGGAGTCAGTGTAGTGTGTCTGAGTGGGTATTCATGTTAAACTGCGGCATGGTATCTCAGTGGGCTAGCACTATGAAATCGGCATTGGTCCGGACTAGTACAAGCAGACAGACAGACACACACACACATGCACACACACATGTGCATGCACGTCGCTATATAAGTACCATCATCTTGAACGCTACTTCAAACTCACTTCAACTCTAATCCGGAATCTCCAAGCTGCGTGATGTTGTGTTAGATGCATTAAATACTACTATAATACCTGTTTTCCGTTTTACCCTTTCACGTTTCTCCAACACATATTTGACGTTGACACTATAAGGAATACCTGTCAAAACCGCCGCAAAGTCCCTAACTTACTACATTACTTCCAACTTGCGTGGATCGATGCTCATGATGTCAACCACTGTATTGTCCGCCCTGGCTTCAATTATTTACAAACCGCCGTCATATAAGTGTAATACTGCTGAGTGCCGCGTCAACGAAACAAAACGTATTCAAGAAATTTGTGCTTACCTGTATACTTCAGTTGGACAGTGAAAGACCGAATGCATCTTCCCAAGCTCTCCGTGGCTTATATAGGGGAGGCAGACAGAATTCATTACCCACTGGTCTATCCATCATAATCATGCGTCAAATCCATCTCTTTGTTCCAACAGTCATGACTGATCATTACCAGCTTCCCTTCCAGTTTCCCTGGAGACGGACTACGTGATGGGCCCCGTGAACTCATCCCTCTACTTTAGGTAACTGTGCTTGTTACACTAAGTGATCTTTGTGCAAAGATTATCGTACGACTATGTTAAAGAATAGAAGAGACAGCCGTAACGCTAACATCGCGGAGTTTACACCATTTAGCAAACTGAATATTCCAAATTGAATATTCCAGAAACGGGCTTCACACAGTGTACACGTGTAGGTATCGAACCCGGGTTCTCGGGGTGACGAGCAAACGCTTCAACCACTAGGCTACCCCATCGCCCTAGCTGTGTTTAACAGGGTCCTGAATACTAGTACTATGCAAAAATATTGTTATAGATTTATTATTTTTCTTAGATGCGAACCGCCTCCGTGGTCTAGTGGTAGAGCGTCCGCCCGGAGAGCGGAAGGTGCGGGTTTCGATCCCCGGCCGCTTCATACCAAAAGACGTTAAAAGATGGCACTAGTTCTAACCCTGTCTGGCGCTCGGCATTAAGGGGCTAAAACAAGGACTGGTCGGCTCAGAGTCAGTATACTGTGTCTGAGTGAGGTATTCATGTTAAACTGCAGCATGGTATCTTAGTGAGCTAGCACTATATATCGGCATCAGTCGGGACTAGTACAAGCAGCCACACACACACGTGCATGCACGTCGCTATATAAGTGCAATAATCTTGGACGCGACGTTAAACCCAGTTTCACGTCACCTCTTAGATGCGAGGAAAAATACGCACACTGGAGTTGGAATGAGTTATAATGTACCCAAAGGCATTAAACATTTTATTACATGTATCATATGAAGAGAATATATCCCGTTGAAAATGTATTTAGGGCCTTAAGATTCCATCCAGTAACCTGGCCCAGTCGTCTAAGGCGCCGCGATTCGCTGTGCAAAGTTGCGTCCATTGGGCACGCCAGAAACCTATGATTGTGGGTTCAAATCCCGGTTCGCCGCGATTATGTTTCTAGGTTTGTCAGCACCATACCTGTGCCCGTAGGTTTTACCGAAGTGGTAAACGTCTGAGACATGTATACTGTTAAAAGCGGCGTTTAACCCAACTCACTCACTCCCATCCAGTAACCGAAAGGCGACAATGTCTCTTCTTGGATTCCATAGGAAATAGCGTTGATGAAGTTTGAGCTTGGAGGCATGTTTAAAGTATATCAACTACGTTCTACCATTCAATCACGTTTATTACGTCACGATAAGTACCGTTTGATGCTACCACTCACGGGGACGTGCGAATAGTGTTTATGACATGTATGTGTTATTATTTATGTATGTAAAAGATATAAATGTCTGGCCTATATGATCCATCAAACCTGAAATGGTTGGAAGATGTAGAAAGTGGACGCCATTTAATACAATAAAGTATTATTCTTGCAGTGCGCATCCACTTCACGAGAGAAGGAATATAAGTTAAGGTCCTATGCATGATATGCCTTTCTCATATATTTATGTTTATCTAAATATAGGTCAGAACTTTTGTTTTTATAATGAATGCTCTTTTCAAACCTTTTAAACAAGATAAAACATTGTCAATAACGTAACAATGAACAACGTCATGGGCTTATTCGTACTGGTCCATATATAATTGTATAAGTTAAATGTTTGTTTCAGTTTTCAATATCTTCTGTGGTGTTTAGTTCATTATTAATTGTTAATGTTCGCTCATTCGTTAATTCCTTTGTTGGACTGACAACTGAGGAGGTCTTGGTATCTGTGATAGTGTTATGCATCAGTCTGTCAAATGCAAAAGTCTTGGTATCTGTGATAGTGTCATGCATCAGTCTGTCAAATGTAAAAGTCTTGGTATCTGTGATAGTGTTATGCATCAGTCTGACAAATGTAAAAGTCTTGGTATCTGTGATAGTGTCATGTATCAGTCTGACAAATGTAAAAGTCTTGGTATCTGTGATAGTGTCATGTATCAGTCTGTCAAATGTAAAAGTCTTGGTATCTGTGATAGTGTCATGTATCAGTCTATCAAATGTAAAAGTCTTGGTATCTGTGATAGTGTCATGTATCAGTCTGTCAAATGTAAAAGTCTTGGTATCTGTGATAGTGTCATGTATCAGTCTGTCAAATGTAAATGTCTTGGTATCTGTGATAGTGTCATGCATCAGTCTGTCAAATGTAAAAGTCTTGATATCTGTGATAGTGTCATGTATCAGTCTGTCAAATGTAAAAGTCTTGGTATCTGTGACAATGCTTTATGCTTGACACTCAACTGTGGAGATCGGTGCATCTGTGACAATGTTCAGTGGTTGTACAAGGATCTGTGACATTGTTGTATGTTGCGTGAAGATTGCATAATCTGTGACAATGTTGCGTGTTACACTGACAACCACAAAGGAGCTACAATCTGTGACAGTTTTACTTGTTACGCTGACAAATATTTCGGTTGTACAATCAGTGACAATGTTGTACATAACGCCGTCAACCAGGACAATGTTGTATATGTTACAATGACCACCATTAAGGTTGTACAGTCTGTGACAATGTTGTATGTTACACTGACCACCATGAAGGTTGTATAATCTGTGACAATGTTGTATGTTGAACAGACCACCATGAAGGTTATAGTCTGTGACAATGTTGTATATAAAGCCGTCAACCAGGAAGGTTATAGTCTGTGACAATGTTGTATGTTACAATGACAACCATGAAGGCTGTGCAATCTGTGACAATGTTGTATATAACGCCGTCAACCAGGAAGTTTATAGTCTGTGACAATGTCGTATATAACGCCGTCAACCATGAAGGTTATAGTCTGTGACAATGTTGTATATAACGCCGTCAACCATGAAGGTTATAGTCTGTGACAATGTTGTATATGTTACGATGACCACCATGAAGGTTGTACAGTCTGTGACAATGTTGTATGTTGCACTGCTAACAATGAATGTTGTAAAATTTGTGACAATGTTGTATATAACGCCGTCAACCATGAAGGTTATAGTCTGTGACAATGTTGTATATGTTACACTGACCACCATGAAGGTTGTACAATCTGTGACAATGTTGTATATAACGCCGTCAACCAGGAAGGTTATAGTCTGTGACAATGTTGTATATGTTACACTGACCACCATGAAGGTTGTACAGTCTGTGACAATGTTGTATATAACGCCGTCAACCATGAAGGTTATAGTCTTTGACAATGTTGTATATAACGCCGTCAGCCATGAAGGTTGGAGTCTGTGACAATGTTGTATATAACGCCGTCAACCATGAAGGTTATAGTCTGTGACAATGTTATATATAACGCCGTCAACCATGAAGGTTATAGTCTGTGACAATGTTGTATATAACGCCGTCAACCATGAAGGTTATAGTCTGTGACAATGTTGTATATAACGCCGTCAACCATGAAGGTTATAGTCTGTGACAATGTTGTATATAACGCCGTCAACCATGAAGGATATAGTCTGTGACAATGTTGTATATTACGCCGTCAACCATGAAGGTTATAGTCTTTGCCAATGTTGTATATAACGCCGTCAACCATGAAGGTTATAGTCTGTGACAATGTTGTATATAACGCCGTCAACCATGAAGGTTATAGTCTTTGACAATGTTGTATATAACGCCGTCAACCATGAAGGTTATAGTCTGTGACAATGTTGTATATAACGCCGTCAACCATGAAGGTTATAGTCTGTGACAATGTTGCATATAACGCCGTCAACCAGGAAGGTTATAGTCTGTGACAATGTTGTACATGTTACGATGACCACCATGAAGGTTGTACAGTCTGTGACAATGTTGTATGTTGCACTGCTAACAATGAATGTTGTAAAATTTGTGACAATGGTGTATATAACGCCGTCAACCATGAAGGTTATAGTCTGTGACAATGTTGTATATGTTACACTGACCACCATGAAGGTTGTACAATCTGTGACAATGTTGTATATAACGCCGTCAACCAGGAAGGTTATAGTCTGTGACAATGTTGTACGTTACAATGGCCTCTATGAAGGTTGTACAGTCTGTGACAATGTTGAATATAACGCCGTCAACCAGGAAGGTTATAGTCTGTGACAATGTTGTACGTTACAATGGCCTCCATGAAGGTTGTACAGTCTGTGACAATATCGATATAACGCCGTCAACCATGACGGTTATAGTCTGTGACAATGTTGTATGTTACAATGACCACCATGAAGGTTATAGTCTGTGACAATGTTGTATATGTTACAATGACCACCATGAAGGTTGGACAGTCTGTGGCAATGTTCGTATATAACGCCGTCAACCAGGAAGGTTATAGTCTGTGACAATATTGTATATAACGCCGTCAACCAGGAAGGTTATATAGTCTGTGACAATGTTGTATATGTTACAATGACCACCATGAAAGTTGTACAATCTATGACAATGTTGTATATAACGCCGTCAACCAGGAAGGTTATAGTCTGAGACAATATTGTATATGTTACACTGACGACCATGAAGTTGTACAGTCTGTGACAATGTTGTACGTTACAATGGCCTCCATGAAGGTTATAGTCTGTGGCAATATCGATATAACGCCGTCAACCATGACGGTTATAGTCTCTGACAATGTTGTATGTTACAATGACCACCATGAAGGTAATAGTCTGTGACAATGTTGTATATGTTACAATGACCACCATGAAGGTTGGGCAGTCTGTGGCAATGTTGTATATAACGCCGTCAACCAGGAAGGTTATAGTCTGTGACAATATTGTATATAACGCCGTCAACCAGGAAGGTTATATAGTCTGTGACAATGTTGTATGATACAATGACCACCATGAATGTTGTACAGTCTGTGACAATGTTGTATATGTTACAATGACCACCATGAAGGTTGTACAATCTGTGACAATGTTGTATATAACGCCGTCAACCATGAAGGTTATAGTCTGTGACAATG